GCCTCTCTGAACTCCTCCCACGCCCAAGTTTTTGCCTCAGCGACCACCCAAGCCACAATCCACTTGGACTGCTGATAACCATCAGCTGCTTCTGGAGTCCCACAGGCCAAAAAGACACAATAGGAACCCTTCTTCAGCCTGACAGCATCCCTCACCGCCAGTGTCCTACCAGCGGGTTTGAGGGTTGACAGGCACTGACAACCTTGTGGCCACAGCTCAGGTAAGCTGCCTCGACAATGGAGGTACAGAACATGGTCCACTTCAATGTCTCCCTCCTCCCCCGGAACGTGTTCAAAGTTCTCCCAGAGGTGTGAGTTGAAGCTCAGTCTGACGGGACACTCTGTCAGATGTTCCCAGTAGACCCTCGTTTGGGTCTGCCAGGTCTGACCGGCATCACCACCGTCAGAGCCAACTCACCACCAGGTACTGGTCAGTCTACAGCTCTGCCCCTCTCTTGTGCTAACAAGAAGAAAACTATATTTATGTGGCTCTTTGTCTGAACACAGCTTCTGTAAAAAACACTTTTACCTTTTTTATTGAGTGGACGTGCCCGGACGCACACACATATTCTGTGCTCCTCAATCTGAAATATGAAAAATACAGTTAAATATGAATACACATATTGATTGAATACAGTAATTTTTAAGTTTGGAATGTCAGAAAGTAAGAAACAGACAGAATAAAATAACAATTTTTTATCCTCATCCATTTCTACTTAATCATTTCATTCATTGTCTAATTTATTCTTCTTCTCTGGCTTCTTATTGTCTATCATTACATTACTTTATTCTATTTTTACATACATTTTTTGCAATCTAAACTTTTCTGCAAACTTTGATATTTTTGCCACTTGCCAGTCTTGCCATTAAACCAATTCTGCAACTTTTAGCCTCCATTCTCTTAGTTATAGCCTTCATCTGGCCTTTTGCGACTTTTATATAACCTTTTCACTAAAGTTTTACTACTTTTCATTGTTCGTCAGCCTTTTGCTTACATTTACCTTCTATGGATTGTTTTACTACTTTAGGCTTTTAGCAAGTTGAGCTTTAGTACTTACTTTTGAAAATACTTAAGTATTCAAAAGTACAAATTACATTTTCTAACATCAGCACATTGCTGTGTAGTTTTCAGAGTGATTTTACACTTGTAACTCTCAGAAACCACCTGATGTATCGACACRTAGAACCACAATGTTACAAATTCACCRCCTGTAAATACTTTCAGCATAAAAATGCAAAAAAAAAGTGAGTGATGAGTTCTTAAATGTAGAAAKGTAGTTTATCCACAGTGAACMCAGATGTATAAATTGATAGGAGCTRTTTTTCAGTCCTAAAATCTCAAACATGGAGCTGCGATATCATCATGGGTGTGCTGGTTTCTCTACTCTCTTCAGCCGCCTCTGTTGCTGGGTTCTGTTTGAAATGAAGGTGGAGCTCAGCTCACTGTTAATGAAGATGATGTAATTCCAAATCTATCCCAGGTGTGAACTACAACTATGATTGGTTCCCCTTGTGGGGAACATAGCGTGTGGCCAATTGCATTTCAAGAAAGGAAAACAGCAAGAGCTGATTGCAAAGCTCTGCTGAACCAAAAGTAACGAGTAACTAACAAGCTTCCTAGAAATGCAGTGGAGTGAAAGTCATAAGTACCCCAAAAAATAATTACTCAAGTAAAGATACACAAAAAACGTACTTGACTACAGTATTCAAATGTACTCCATTACTGTCCACCACTGTTCCTTTGTATTTGTCAACTCTTTGTGTATTCTATAACTCTAATAGACTTTGTTTTGGTTTCCAGAGTCACATCTCACAAAAATAACTGAAATCAATCTAAATCTAGCTGACCTGTGAGTCACTACGGGTCAAAAGTAAAGCTTCCAGTTTGTCTGCTGGTCAGTGTTGGGAAGAGTCCAACATGCTGGAAGCTCCACACATAGCAGAGCGGTCTACAAATAGCCTCAATCCAGCCTCTCAGTGAGCGTCAGTGGAGCCTAGTGAATGACTGGAAGATGACATGGGAGGAAAAAATAAAGGAGTGATGGAAACACTAACTTCTCAGCACGTCACCAGTTCAGGTTTCATTTCAGCCCAGAGTGAGGAAGTCACAGCTGGCTTCACTGGACTGATGGCTGCTTCTTCACCCAATATTACCTGGATATATTCTGATCATGTTTCTACTTATTAACAGTTACAACACAGTAACAAGATGTTGTGAAAGTTCATTCATCAGGTTTTCCAACATGATTACTCAAAATCTGCCTTTTCTTTAATACAGTATGTGGTCGATTTGGTGGAGACGTAATAACAGAGTTTTTTTTATTAATAAAACAAACCATTTGTTGTATAAAACTGTCAACTCAGTCCTCTCCCAGTGATTAAATTACACAATCTGGACATTATGACAAGTTTTAGTTCTGTACAAATGAGTCATTCCAGATATAACATGTTTTTATTAAGCAGAAAGCAAAAGCGCAACTTCAACCTACGTGTTGTGTAAAATGTAAAAAGAA